CTCTAACTCATGAAATTCCTTCACTCTCATCACTTTTCTCTTAATTCTGGTTGGAAATGTGATCGAGCATGAAGGGTGCCAACCATGAATCACTATAACAGCCCCCTTTATTTCTAAATTCCAGAGATTGCCCCCACCTCTTGACAGTTTACCCCAACTCTATAGTAGGGAAATAATATTCGTAAAATAGTTATTAGCATCCAAGCCCTTAATATCAAAGTGAAATTACTTCCTTTTTCCAGAAAAAAAAAAATATTTCTGGGTAACCCTTTAAGTTACCACTTTTAGCATTAGTTGGACCTTACTCCCCAAACAAACCTCAAATCCTAGTTCATCTATGATTGCTTTCCTTGTTTTACTTTATAGCAAATGCTACATTTTACAAAACTGTGTTTTGGCCTTGTATGTTTATTTAATTCCTTTATAATTATTTCTGACTTCAAAAGTAATGTGCTGGCGGGGCACAATGGCTCACACCTGTACTCCCAGGACTTTGGGAGGCTGAAGCTGGTGGATCACTTGAGGTAAGGATCACTTGAGGTAAGGGGGATCACTTCAAGACCAGCCTAGCCAATATGGTAAAACCTTGTCTGTACTATAAAAAAATACAAAAATTAGCTGTGCATAGTGTTGCTATGGGATTTCAGTGTTGCTGAAATCCCAGCTACTCAGGAGACTGTGCAGGAGAATCACTTGAATTCAGAAGGTGGAGGTTGCGTTGAACCGAAGATCGTGCCACTGCACTCCAGCCTGGCAACAGAGCAAGACTTCAACTCAAAAAAAAAAAAAAAAAAGAAAAAAGAAATACATACTTTTTGTAAAAACTACTCTATTACAGAAATGAGGAATCATGTTTGGGTTGATGTACATAACTCACAATTTATTTCTATGAATATAATCAAATATATTTTTATACATATCAGAACATAAATATTATGCTATTTTGTAGTCAGCTATTTCTACTTCTCTGCTTTTGACCTTTATGAAAATGCAAATAATTATTTTGTGTGTGTGTGTGTGTGTGTGTGTGTGTGTATGCTTTTGAGACAGTGTCCCTCTGTTACCAGGCTGGAGTGCAGTGGCATGATCTTGGCTCACTGCAACCTCCGCCTCCCAGTTCAAACCATTCTCATGCCTCAGAC